TATATATATATATATACGTATATATATATATATATATGTATATATGTGTATATATATATATATGTTTATATATATATATGTATATATATATATGTATATGTATATATATATATGTATATACACATATATATATACACATATATATATATACATGTGTATATATATACGTGTATATATATACGTGTATATATATATATGTGTATATATATATATGTGTATATATATATATGTATATACATATATAACATATGTTCTGGGTCTCCCCCGGGGTCTCCTCCCAGTCGGACGTGCCTGGAAAACTTCCAGTGGGAGGCGTCCAGGAGGCATCCTGATTAGATGCGCGAACCACCTCAGCTGGCTCCTTTCGACGCGAAGAAGTAGCGGCTCGACTCTAAGTTCCCTCCTGATGACCGAGCTCCTTACCCTATCTCTAAGGCTGAGCCCGGCCACCCTACGGAGGAAACTCATTTCAGCCACTTGTACCCGCGACCTTGTCCTTTCGGTCACGACCCAAAGTTCGTGACCATAGGTGAGGGTAGCAACGTAGACCAACAAGTAAATTGAGAGCTTCGCCTTTCGTCACCAAGACGGTCCGGTACAGCGCCTGACAAACAGCACAAACAGCACAAACCAAGGAGGCCAACAGGACCACATCATCTGCAAACGGCAGAGAGGCGATCCCGAGACCTCTGAACCTGACGTTTTCCATCCCCCGGCTGCGCCTAGATATCCTGTCCATGAAAGTCACGAACAGGACCAGTGACAAAGGGCAGCCCTGGCGGAGACCAACACCCACCGGGAACGTGTCTGACTTATTGCCGAGAATGCAGACACAGCTCCTACTACAGTCGTACAGAGACCGGATCGCCCATTGTAACGGGTCCGGCACCCCATACTCCCGCAGCACCCCCCACACGAACCCCCGAGGGACCCGGTTGAAAGCCTTCTCCAAGTCCACAAAGCACATGTAGACTGGTTGGGCAAACTCCCAGAACCCCTCCAGTAGTCTTGTGAGGGTAAAGAGCTGGTCCACTGTTCCACGGCCGGGACGGAATCCACACTGCTCCTCTTGAATCCGAGGTTCGACAAACGGTCGGAGCCTCCTTTCCAGCACCCTGGCATAAGCCTTCCCCGGGAGGCTGAGTAGTGTGATACTCCTCCGCGAATCGCCACCTTAACGTGGTGGAGGAGTTTGAGTGGCTCAGTGATCCTGGGAGCTATGTTCTCCGGGGCAGTAGCCCCTGGTAGGGTCTCCCAAGGCAAACAGGTCTCAGGGGAGAGCCCAGACTAAGAGCGGTTCAAAATAACCCTGATGATAAGCAGCCCACGGACTTCAGCCACCTCGCCAGGACAAGGGAAACCGGGGCCCCCTCCCGGAGCCAGACCCAGGTGGGGAGCTCGTCGGCGAGCGTCTGGTGGCCGGGCCTTCGCCCATGGGGCCCGGTCGGGCTCAGCCCAAAGAAACAACATGGAGCAGCCACCCTGTGGACCCACCACCCGCAGGGACAAGCATCGGGGTCGGGTGCAATGCAGACCAGGCGGCAGGCCGGGCCGGAGGCCTGGACGAGCCGATCGCCGGCAGCATAGACTAGCTCTAGGGACGTGGAACGTCACCTCGCTAGCAGGGAAAGAGCCGGAGCTGGTGCAGGAGGTAGAGCGATACCAGCTAGATATAGTTGGACTCACCTCCACACACAGCACTGGCTCTGGAACCAAGCTCCTGGAGAGGGGCTGGACTTTGTCCTTTTCTGGAGTTGCCCAAGGTGAGAGGCGCCGGGTGGGAGTGGGGATACTCACGAGCCCCCAGCTGAGCGCTGCTGTGTTGGAGTTCTCCCCGGAGAACGAGAGGGTCGCCTCCATGCGCCTGTGGGTTGTGGGGAGCAAGGCTCTGACTGTGGTTTGTGCATGCACCAAACAACAGTTCGAGTTCGAGAGTATCTGGCCTTCTTGGAGTCGGTGGGAGGGGTCCTGGAAAGGGCGCCACCTGCCGACTCCATAGTTCTCCTAGGGGACTTCAATGCTCACGTGGGCAATGACGGAGAAACCTGGTGGGGGGTGATTGGGAGGAACAGCTTGCCTGATCTGAACCCGAGTGGGCTTCTGTGCTAGCCACGGTTTAGCCATAATGAACACCATGTTCGAACATAAGGTGGCTCATAAGTGGACCTGGTACCAGAACACCTTAGGCCGGAGATCAATGATCGACTTTGTAATCGTATCATCTGATCTGCGGCCGTATGTCTTGGACACTCGGGTGGGGAGCAGAGCTGTCAACTGATCACCACCTACCTGGTGGTGAGTTGGATCAGATGGCGGGGGAACCGGTTGGAAAGACCCGGCAAGCCCAAACGTATAGTGAGGGTGACCCCGGATGGGGGACATCGTTGGGAGGCGGAAAGAGCACTTTGAGGAACTCTTAAACCCGACTAACATGTCCTCTGCAGAGGAGGCAGCGCCTGAAGACCTGGGGGGGCTCACCCATATCCCTGGCGGAGGCCGCTAAGGTAGTCAAAAAGCTCCTTGGTGGCAAGGTGCCGGGGGTGGATGAGATCTGCCCTGAGATGCTGAAAGCGCTGGACATGGCTGGGCTGTCCTGGCTGACACGCCTCTTCAATGTCGCATGGGGGTCGGGATCAGTGCCCATGGACTGGCAGACCGGGGTGGTGGTTCCCATCTTCAAAAAGGGGGACCGGAGAGTGTGCTTGAATTACCGGGGTATTCTTATGAATTAGAATATGAATAATAAAAAACTGTTGGTGCAGTTCATGAGTTTCATACAATAATTTATTTTATTTTCTGTTTTACAAAGTGAAGGAAAATCATTTCCTTAATAAATGTTTAATCTGATGTAAGTGACCAGGAAACAAACTGATGATCATTATAATTATTGTTATGATTATTATTTAAATATATCTCTATGTACATTTGAATGTGTAGGAAACATCAGAGAGAGACGTGGACAGCTGGACTAACCCCTAAACCCTAACTCAATGTGAGCCCTAACTGCTCACGTTAGTTTTAGTTCTTGGAGTGGACGGCCTAGAGGTCACGTGGAGGTCATTAAAGGTCATATTTACAGGTCATTAAAAGTCCTACTGAGGTCAGATGAAGGTCATATGTAGGTCATGGCACCTTTGGCACTGCTGTCCAGGAAGACTTTGATGTAGGAGGTGGGGACGTATCCCTCCTCCTCCAGGTTCCTCCGTACTCTGGTCCACCCGTCACCTTTGTCCTCTTCCACCACAGAAAGTAGTTCTCCCTCCACCATCGACAGAGTGCCTTCATTTTGTCCTGCAGAAAATCAGAAACATGTTCAGACCATCATTCAGTTCATTCTGCCCTCTAACAGAGAGTCCGGATCAGATCCCTGCTCCTGTAAAACATGTTCAGGTGTTGGAAGGACCACAACCCTTCGTCTCAGACTGAAGGAGTCCAGGTGAAAGGAGGTCTTCACTTCAGACTGAAGGACCAGGTGAAGGTTTTGGGAGGGAATTTCTCTGTCCCCTTGTTTGTCTTTGGGCTTAAATATGCATGAAGAAAAATAATTCATTTTATGTTTGGAACTACAGAGCAGGAAGAACCAGATGTTAGATTCAGGACCGGACCAATGCGGTGCAGTCTGAAGGGACAGAGCTCACTTTGAGACCCTGACTAGGGTCTGGATTCTGTCAGGGCTCTGTGGGGGATCAGGTTTATGTACACTGAGGGAACACTAACTTTGTTTAACTTTTCTTTATTTGTTTATTTCTTGTGTTAATGATTTGATGAAGCTGATGATGTTTTCAGCTTTCCAGTTTGTATTGAAGATCAACTTTAAATAAAGTCTCTGTCTTGACTAGCGACTCTCGAGTGACTAAAGACATGAACGACTGAAGAGACAAAACGTCAACTTTACATTTAGTTTGTCAGGAGACACAAACACCTCGTGGTCTAAAGTCTCAACCGGACGACCTGTAACGATCCATAATGACCTGCAATGACCCACAATGACCCATAACGATCCATATAAACCCGTAACGACCTGTAACGACGCCTAGCAAGGTCTGACCCTGAAAATGTCACTGAGTACCTGTTGATGTGCAGTAGTAGTAGTAGCAGTAGTACAGTAAACAGTACCTTGGAATGGGTAAAGGGACTTGCAGGTGCCGATACTCGGTAATGGTTCTTCATCTTCAAAGTCATCATCAAACTCTGAACTACGAGATTTAAACTGAAGCTCTGCACTGTGGTCTTCAGTGTAGCTGCCGTCAGGACTGAAGAGAGAGAGTCAGGTAGAGGGAGAGAGAGACAGGTAGAGGTAGAGACAGGTAGAGGTAGAGACAGGTAGAGACAGGTAGAGGGACAGACAGGTAGAGGGAGAGACAGGTAGAGGGAGAGAGAAACAGGTACAGAGAGAGACGGGTTAAAGCATGCTTAGTCGATAAACATTGAATAACATTACATTACATTACAGTACAGTCATTTAGCAGACGCTTTTATCCAAAGCGACTTACAATTCAGAGTCTATCATATTTCTACACCGTAGGCACAGCTAAGGGAGCAATTTTGGGGTTAAGTGTCTTGCTCAAGGACACATCGACATGCGACTAGCGGAGCCGGAGCCGGGGTTCGAACCGCCGACTGATTGAAAGACGGCCCTGCTATCCACTTAGCCACAATCGCCCCCCTGAATCATTTCAGTACTACAGGAGTATCAATAAAATAATCAATAATCAATAGTAATCAATAACCAGTAATCAATAGTTAGTAATCAGTAATCAATAGTTAGTAATCAGTAATCAATAATCAATAATTAGTAATCAATAATCAATAGTTAGTAATCAATAATCAGTAGTTAGTAATCAATAATCAGTAATCAATAGTTAGTAATCAATAATCAATAATCAGTAAGCAATAATTAGTAATCAATATTTAGTCATCTATAATCAGTAATCAATAATCAATAGTTAGTAATCAATAGTTAGTAATCGGGAATCAATAATCAGTAATCAATAGTTAATAATCAATAATCAGTAATCAATAATAAGTAATCAATAATCAATAGTTAGTAATCAATAATCAGTAACCAATAATCAGTAATCAGTAATCAATAATCAGTACCTCTCTCTGCTGGCTGGACTCCGGTCTTCCAGCTGTTTCAAGCTGCTGCTTCCTGGAGTGTCGACCTGAGAATTTAACCCACAACCTCCACTTTGTCTCCGACTGCTGAGGTCACAAGCTTTGGAGTCGGCCTCCGAAAGCCACGCCTACAGAGTACATGAAGTACTGGATTACTGTGGTACTGGATAAATACACAAAGTACTGCATTACTGTGATACTGGACAGAATCTCCTGTGTCCTCTATGTCAGTGGTTCTCAACTGGTCTGGCTGCGGGACCCACCATCATCCCTTAATGGCAAGCCGCGACCCACGACCCAAATTATATATATAATTTGGGTATATCTATATTCAAGAAGTCTAGTAGTAGTAACGTCTCTGTGTAGTAAACAACTGCCAAATCAAAGAAAGTACACATCAATTATATTTTAACTAATATTATTCAAATTTTTCAAATTTAACTGGATGGATTATAAATAATACATAGAAATGCATAAATAAATGTTCTTCTCATTTCAAGTAAAATAACGGCTGGATTAAAAATTAAATTACGTAACAGAATTCATTTTAGAAAAATTGTTTTCACTGAATTGCCCTGCAGCTTTAAATTCAGTTCATTCAGGGTGAAGTGATAAAGCCACAATATTATATTTTTCTCATCTTCTAAAAAGAGAAATTAGTGTTGGAAGAATTCACCTATATGAGTCTGTCCAGTTAGAGTCTAATGACTCTGGTCTCTCTGGCCATTCTTCTCTTTTGGAAATCGTTCTATGATTTTGACTTTTACAACTAATGTTACAACAGTCCTGCTCTGCGTTCTATATCCTCGTCTCTCCCCCGTGTGTCACGGTGTGTGTACATCTCACTGAGTCAGGACACTTGTCAGAATGGCCATATTTGATTGGCTGAGCTGCATCATGTGATGTGATTCACAACGCATTGGTCGGTGTTTTTCCTGCACCGCCGTAAATGCTGGAATAATTCCGCTGCATAAAAAATGACCTTCAAAATAAAAACACTTTTTTTTTTTTTTTTCGTCAGGCAAAGGCCCGCGACCCACTGAAAACAGGTCCGCGACCCGTTTTTGGGTCGCGACCCACCAGTTGAGAATCACTGCTCTATGTGGTGCTAGAGGACGTCATACTGCTGTTTATCATGTACACCGTGTACTTTTCATATACATGGGATGACTTCCTGTTGTCAGTAGGTGGCACTATGTGTGTGTACTATATGTATATACAGTACTGTGTGTACATAGTATTAATGGTATAAACCTGGTTCCTCCTCAGCTCCTCCTCCAGTCTCTTTAGACTGTTTCACCACCTCCAGTACTGTGTGTATAGTACTATATGTGTACTATATGTATATACAGTACTATGTGTACATAGTATTAATGGTATAAACCTGGTTCCTCCTCAGCTCCTCCTCCAGTCTCTGTAGACTTTGTTTCACTTCCTCCAGTCGAGGCTCCAAACTGCCGGCGTCGCCCATCTGAGGATTTCTTTCATAAACTTCCCTCATTTTCAACAGAGCGTCTCTGAAACAACAGAACAATACAAATATTTACTTTTATTCGTGATATGAATGAATACAATAATAGATCAATATTTCCCAGAGTTAACTGTCAACTTTCCTTTGAGATGTAAAATGTTCAAAGTTTCTGCTTTTGTTGGGTTTGTAATGTACAAACAATGTTTATCTCAGCAAGTATTACCAAGAAGTATTACCAAGAAGTATAACGAAGAAGTATTACCAAGAAGTTTTACTATGTGTGTGTATATGTGTGTATACAAGTGTGTGTATATGTGTGTATGTGTGTGTATGTGTGTATACGTGTGTGTATGTGTGTATATATGTGTGTGTGTATATGTGTGTGTATATGTGTGTGTATATGTGTATATGTGTGTGTACCTCTGCTCTCTCTCTCTCTGGATCTCCTCGTTCATGTTGTTGATTCTGGTTTGAAGTTTCTTTCTTCTCTGTTCTGGAGGAAGATGACTGCAGTCTGCAGGACCGGAGCCCTGCAGCAGGTCATGATGTCACACACATCATGGTATGACATCACATCACATTATATTATAGCTACACACTGAAAATCATAAAATAATAATAATAATATTGATAATAACAATAATAATGTCAACAATAGTAAATGTAGCTTCATACAGCTGAGTGTTACAGACAGACAGGTGTGATACTGACCAGTTTAAGTGACAGCTGTCCAATCAGAGAAGAGCATGAAGGAAATATGACAACATTAACAACACAGCTATGAGCTCAAATACATGTGTGTGTATTTATATGTGTACATATACATGAGTGTGTATATATGTGTACATATACATGAGTGTGTATTCATGTGTGTACATATACATGAGTGTGTATTTATGTGTGTATATATACATGAGTGTGTATTCATGTGTGTAAATATACATGAGTGTGTATTCATGTGTGTAAATATACTTGAGTGTGTATTTATGTGTGTAAATATACAGGAGTGTGTACCCCTCTCTTGAGGCTGCGCAGACACTGCTTCCTGGTTCTGGAGCCAGAGCTCATGAGGTCATTCAGCCGCTGTGTGATTGGTTCTCTGGAGGCAGGGGGCGGGGACTGGGGACTGTTGGCTACTCCCCCAGGTGAAGGTGAGGTTGGGGGTGGAGGGGGAGGCTGCCGGGGGG